GAGACATCCGCCGACCCTTCTTCCCCGGGCACGGGGGCCGGTGGCGAGTCCTCTGCTTCGCCGGCTGCCGGAGGGGGATGCGAGGGGGCGATTGCCGCAGTGCCTCGGGACAAGGGGCAGTTTTGCCGCAGTGAATCCGGAGGGCTTTGAGCAGAAAACACCCCGGGCGAGAGGAAGAGCGGGAGAGCCAGGCCCCTGGCCGCAGCTGGGTGGTGGAGGCCTTCTGCCTTAGTCTCTCTTGTCGGTGGCTCCCGTGAAAGACGTCGGAAGAATCAAAGCTTTTCTTTTTCCTTTGGATTGATTTTTGAGTTTTGCAACAAGAAAGAAAAGAAAAAAAAAGAAAAAAAAAAAGAAAAAAGGAGAAAAAAAAGGAAAAAAACAACAAAAAAAAGCTGGGGTAGAGCTTAGCCGGAGCCGGGTGGGCACACGGGGCTGCCTCCGCCATGCTCGCTGGGCGGCTGCGGACCCTCCCTCGGGGCGGGCGGGAGGCGGGCGAGCAGCCGAGCTGGGGGGCAGCGAGCCCTGCCCGGTGGGTGTATGTCTTGTGTCCCCCCCCTTCCCCGTTCCCAGGCCGCAGAGACTCGGGCGTGCGACCCTCATCACCCAACCGGCCACCCCGGCCCTCATCCGTGGGCAGGGGGTGAAAATCCACAAGGAAGAAAAAAAGAGAATTATATATATAAAATCACTTAGTGATTTAAAAGCAACCCAGACTGCTCCCTAAAGACAACTCCTGCAAGAAAAGTCACTATTGTTTAAAGGTTTGGTTGTGTTTTTGTTTTGTTTCAATTCCCCCCCTCCCCCCCCCGCCCCCCCCCCCCCGGAGAAATATTGTAAATATATATTTTTTTGTTGGCGATTTAGAGTCCATCTCTGATGTTTGTGCTTTAAAATTAAATGTAAGCATTAAGGGTAAAAGCAAACCAAGTCTTACGCTCTCTCAGTCGGTATGGTTTGGGTTGGGGGTTTCTTGTCTGGGGGCAGAGGGAGGGGAGCTAGTTGGCAATTTTTTTTTTGTTTTGTTTTTGTTTTTTTTTTTTTTGTTTGGTTGGTTTGGTTTTCCTTTTTCTTTTTTTCTAAGCATTCTCCGATACTGTTTTTAGAGAGGATCTTTGCTCATAACATATTACCACAGGGATGGGAGAGATGTTGTGGGGGGAGGGAAGATACCAGCCTCTGAAGGGAAATATTTTGTTTCTTGGGGGTGGATTTTTGGAATAAAAAATTTAAAGAAAAACAAAACCCTGCGTCTCGCCTCTGCCCGTTGTTTGTCTGAGAGGGAAGCGGAGGGGACGAGGCCGGGGCTGGGAGCCCCTGACCCCCTTCCAGGGGACCTCCCGTGCCCCCCCCACCACCTCCAGCCCTAATGGAGAGGAACCCTGGGGCACCGTCAAGCGTGCCGGCTTGTGGGCCCGAGCCCCGGGTGGCGATGGCAGCTGTCCCCGTGTCCCCGTCATCTCCTGTCCCACCAGTGAGCCAGGGCCACGGGTCCCCTGGGGCCACGTGGGGCTTTTTGCCCCATCCTCTGCCTCCCTTGGGAAAGCTGCTCTCTCCCAGCGGATTCCCGGGCTGCTGGAGGCGAGGGCTTTGCCCTTCCCCTGCTCGCGCCCCGACGGAGAGCAGCCTTTCCGCAGCAGCCCTGGTTTAGCACAGTTTCCCCCTCCCCTGCAGCCCCAATTCTGCACCCTGCCTGACGAGGAGCAGGCAGGGAGCGCAGGCAGCAAGTGCAGGCAGCTCCTCCGCAACCAGGGCCGGACCTGCCAGCGCCTTGCGCGGTGCTGGGGCCGCATCCGTGACTGGCTCTGCTTGGGACGGGCTTTATCTCCCGAAGTTTGGCAAGCCAGAGATGTTTCCCACCTGCCCCGGCTGCGCCCAGGCTGGGGTCAGCCTAGCAGCGATGTGCCGGGATGGCTTTCCGCAGGGATTTTTCTCTCCCACCCCGGCAAGGCTGGGTTTAACGGCTGGGAGCGGAGCTGGGGCCGGGGCAGGGTCTTTCAGCCACCCCAAAGGGCTGTACTGGTCCCACAGCTCTTCCAGAGCTGGTTCTGGGCCGTAGGCCACCGAGGTGACATTTACTGTCCTCCAGCCTCTTCTGCAGGGACGTCATGGTCCACGGTCACCGCGGCGGTTGGGGCTGTACCGACAGCACCAAAACAAGGCCCCGGGCTGGGCCATTTGCATGGCGAGGCGCGGAGCTCGCTCTTCCGTGGGCGAACGTCGTCCTCCATCGACGTCCTCCGTCGATGTCCTCCTCCACGGGTGGCTGAAGCCACAACCGGTCCTCCCCGCTCCTTGAACCCCGTCCACCGGAGCATCGCCGCCTGCCTGCCCCGGCGCTGCACCGCGTACGGAGGCACCGTGGACCGAGCAAATCTCGACACCCCAACCCGCACCACCTGTCCCCCTGTCCCCTCCGTGTGTCCCCTCCCGGCCCCGGGGACAGGGACCCTCCTGTCGCCGCCTCCATCACCCGGCCCAGCTCCGGCAGCCGCCGCTCCCC